CAAATATCGCGAGTAATTATACGCGCCTCCCGCAGTTCACCTGCCGCGGCGGCGGCACAGCAATAAAACCTGGTAAGTTGATGTTTCCGGTAGGTACGTCATTATTGTTGCGGCGGGGCTCGGGTATTTTTAGACGTCACGCAAATTGGCTACGACAACTATATCATTATCCGCACTAATTAATGGTGTACGAAAAAACTTTTCTCCGCCACCCCCCCCCCCCCCCCCCCCCCCCCCCCCCCCCCCNCCTCCCCTCCCCCCGCCTCATTACAATAGTACGACCGTCTGAAAAAACCCCCGGGCCGACGTGAGACGCGGAGCGTTCCGCGGCGGGCGGGCGACCGTGCCCGCGTACCGGGTATATACCGAGGTATACCTGTGCCGTAATAATTATTATTTGCCATTACTTATTAATATAATGAATGACGGCCGAACGTTTTTTTCGTGATGCGGAAAATTCTTGTTTAATGAGCACGAGGAGGCGAGGAGAAAAAAAAAAAACCGTTCGCCTCGGGGTTGCCAATTTTAATAATTGGACGACATCAAAGATGCGTTAGGGCTAAACGGTATTTATTATTATTATTATTATTATTATTATTATACAGACGAAGATTGAACGAAACGAGTGAATACAAAAAAAAAAGCAAGCGTAGATTTAAAGCAAAGAAAAGTACCAGACTCAGGAGCGTGTATAGGGGGTGGAGGAGAGGAGGAGGATAGGGGCTCAACCACCCCGAAATTTTATGAAAATAACGATAAGAGTAAAATTTGAATAGTCCCATAAGTGGTTTCTGCCGACGAGGCGGATGAATACGATTTATGTTTTATTTTTATTTCATTATTAGACGGTAAGCGTATGTATTATTGTTATTGTTGTCATTTCTAATTTGTGCGGTTTTTTTGCTTTTAGAAAATTACAACTGATATGACGTTATTGCATAGTCCTCATAACCATCACGGTAACACGAATTACGCTAAAAAACATTTCAGCTGCATTCACTAAAACAAATAAATACTAAACGTAAAATTTAGTAATATGAACCTTCAAAGGCTAATAATAAATTTTATAAAATATTGACATTTTTAATGAAAAATAAATACTCGTACAATTGAAAGTACGTAAACTTTTTTGCTATAAGAGTATGAAAGTATACATTCTTGGCACCTCCCCTTAAAAAAAAAAAATTTTTTTTCGTAGACGCACCTGAGTCCTGACTAGATACTATAATATAAATAATTTGTAGTATAAAAAAGAAATATCAAAGTCAAATTGAAATACATTCGCTCGAAATCTAAACGTAAATTAAAATCGAATTTTCCAGTCACGTTTTTACACGGGGGGATTTTTTTTTTTTTTTACGAACATAATACGATTACAGTGTAAACATTCCGATTTCAGGCACGTCGTATAATTATACGTTGAATGGTTTTTTTTTTTTACAAGTATTTAAGAGGACACTGTACTTGCGTTTACTGTCTATGGCCCGTTATTGGTACTTAATAAATGGGTATAAACTATGACGATTTCGTTGGAATTGGAATTTAAACGCAATAACAGACAAATTTAAAGAGTAGACTATTTTCGAGGGCAAAGCGTTTGAATTAAAAAAAAAAAAAAAAAAAAAAAAAAAAAAACAATACGAAAAAATTATTATCATATTAAGTTTTGTTTTTAATAATAACTTCTTTGCCGCGTGACAACTTGTTTAGACCGAGACAGTAAACGCGGTAGTAGCGTCCTCTCGAGTTTTAAATATAAAAGCGTTAAATACAACACGCCGTTAAATGATTATTGTATATTTTATCGTGAAAACGAAATACAAAAAAAAAAAAAAATAAAAAAATAGTAACACGCTTTTTTTTTTTAAATAGATTACGAACGTCGAGTCAAAAGATTTATCTTCATTTATATTTTTAGCGGACAACAAGTTAAATAACAGCGATTTGATATTAAACACGCACATACTTACGGAAAAAGAAAATTGCCGATGTTTACTACACTCGGTTTGTCATATTTAAAAGCCCTCTTGTTAATTCGTAATTATTTTTCCAACCGCTTTTTTTTTTTTTTTTTTTTTTTTTCACGCCCGGGAACACAATATTACAATGACAATAATAACATTATTATACGCGATACGGACTTACGAAAATAACCCGCGGCCATAATTATCATTGTAAAATATATCGCGTACGGACATTATTATAAAAAAAAATGAAAAAAAATAACGTATAAATATCAAATAGGTATACAACGGTTATTATCGTACCGTTTCGGATTTTCGCGTAATGACGACGTTTTTCGAAAATGTTCTACAACGTTATTATTATTATTATTATTATACCAAAATATTTGTACAACGTTCGGGTCGCCGCCGCGCGCCGTCCGCGCTCGACGAGAGCCGATGAATCATTTATGCGAATAAACCGTAATGACCGCGTAAGTTGAGTTACAACAATCTGATTACCCGACATAATTATAATATAAATTATTTACATCGGCGCTATCGGTACGAGCACACGACCCGCTACGCGACCCACACGTTTTAAGAGAAAATTAAATTATTTAATATTTACAACCGCCGCCGCCGCCGCCGCCGCCGCCGTTACAGGGCTTATCCAGTTTAAGTTAAACTATATTACCGACGGCGTACGCACCTGCACGTGTACCCGGGCGCGCATTGTTATAAAACACGACAACACTCATGCATGTAAATTGACCGTGCCGTAACTCCCGCGTAACATTATGCAATAATAACGGTTCCATACATTTTATATCCGTTATGGACGATTTACAGTAGTTAATAATAACCGCGCGTACGCGTGCGGCATGCGCGTCTGCAACCATGGCGGGAACGGATGATTTCGAAAACCGCGAACCGCTTCCGACCCCGCCCCCACCGCCCGTCCCGCTAAAACGGAGAAACTTTTACCGTGCACGGCGAAGTTTTTAAAAATCGCGAGTACGAATGCATCCGTTTTAGTCGTTAACGTCATCGGACAATCCGAAGTGTTTTAAGTTAATATAATTTTTCGAAAAATAAAAAATACGATTTTACGAACATTGCAACAAGTGTTGCACTTGATTGATGTTACTGTACGTATTGTAGCTGTACAAAAACTAGTTACAAAAGTCGCAAAAAACAGATTTAGCGAAAAACCAGTGGCGTTCAAATGATTTTGTCACGGGGGCGAGGGATAAGGATAATTTTGAAAAACTATTATCATTCGCATAGTGTTTTTTTATATTTACGAAGTTATAATAATATATTTTTTAAAAACGTTCACCCCATTTGTATTATTCAATTATGTATACGTTCAAATTAAGTTTTTTGGATTTTTCAAATTCAGCGAACGACGAAATGTTTGCACATTTTTCACGACAGTAAATGTTCTGGTGTAATTTTAAGGAGTATCCTGTGATGATAATATCAACCTCGGTTTCTAAATGAGAATAATTGCTATCGAAATTTAAACGGAATGTTTCTACGTCCCCTTCAACCTCCTCTCATTTGTTTGTTCGCTCCTACTAGAAACTGTTATCTTGAATGGATACGTTCCAATACTCCTAACACAGTTTAGGAATTGTAATAAGTATAGCCGCAGAGGCCTAATTAGAGGGGGCTAGGGGCTAAATAAATTATTTAATTAGTAATTTATAACACTTTTTGTTAAGATTAAGTAGGGAAATCGTGAATTTTGAAAAAAAACAAATGAATTATCAAAATTTTATCTTACACTGATGATGATACGGAAAACCTTGTAGGAAAAAAAAAATTCCCGGATGATAAAGTTGAAAATAATTCAAATAATAATTTTATAATAAAAACAACGGACGTATTTTACACGGGGGTAGCCACTATTGTAGGCGAAAAGCTGGGAAGATAGAGGGGAAATTGAATGTATATCTGTACGCAACGATTAACCATTGTAAACGAAAAAACGATTCTAAGTGGAATTAGGCTGTTCATGTTTTAAAAGATTGTAATATTTGTGATTTTAAAATAATCAATTCCGTACATTTTCCCATTTTTTCCCCATTTATTTGAAAAACCCTTGTACAGTCAAAAAACTACCTAAAGTATTACACCAGTCAGATTTTCTTCTCAGAAAGTGGTACACTTGAAAACTGGAGCAAGATTTCTAGTAGAAAAGTTGTTCGCAGAAAAAAAAACCATTGTTTTAAAACTAATACATTCCTCGCTCTGCTCAGAATCTAAAATTGTAATAATAAGTCAGTTTTTCTTTTTTTTTTCATAGAAGCGTTTGATTATATCAACAAAAAGATATTTTTTTCACGATTTCAATAATTAATTTATAATCTCAAAAAATTAATTGAACATAAAAAAAGCGATGTAGTAAAAAACTGAATTTATAATTTAATTTAAGGAAACCGTCAACAAATTTAGCCTCGAGCCCCAAAATTCTTAAGTATTACTTTGTACATCCATTATAATTATTTCTTACTATACCTATAAATGTATTGCACGTTGCGGCAATTGGGTTTCGATATCTTAAAATTGAATGTACTGCAATAATAATTATGGAACCAACACAATAGTTGAAAAAACGAACACCGGTTACTTGACTTTTGTGATACGTTATTGATTGATATAAAACATATTTTAACATAATTTATAGTAACTTGAGTATTTAGGCAAAACGGTCGAATCAAAAGCATATAAAATACAATGTGTATACAATTGATAAAGTACAAGTGTAAACTATTTCGACACTGACTTATAAGTTACTTATTATATTTAACAACATCGCGTAAAAATAATTTATTGATATCCGTACGTACGCCGAGAGCGCATAAACTTACCCCGACCCTTATAATCCGACTTTGCGAGGTAGGTGAGATATTAATAATATTATTAGTTATTACAATAAAATATTCCAAGTATAAAAACGCGTTTATTCCCGAGTGCGAAGTGCGTAAAGAGTACGCGGCTGATGTACGGGAGAAAGACGCAAACGCATCACACGGCCCCGCGACGGCGTTACTTGTTTTCGGCCGGATAACCGCGAGAAGTCCCAAAGTCCGCGATGTCGGGAAAGCTGATCCTGAGCACGTGGCTTTTGAGGATGTCGCGGACGACGGCGTCGACGAGGACGGACAGCGACAGGACGGTGTTGTGGCCGCGGGCGTCCAGCAGCCGTTCGCTGATGGCGGTCTTTCGGGGGTCCACGGGCTCCGTCCGGACCGCGGTTACGAAGTCGCCCAACAGCCGTATCCGGTCCAGCCGGTTCAGGGCGTCCAAGTACACCGCGGTCTTGCGCTGCAGACACGTGTAGCTCACGGCGCGCAGACAGGCCTCCATGTCCGGCGGTTCGGGTCCGGGTTCCCGTTCGGCGGTCGGACGGACGATCGGCACGTGCGACGACTTGGGAAACGCCAGCACCCGGATCGCCCCCTCGACGGCGTTCGCGGTACAGTGGAACGCGACCACCGCCGTCCACACGCGCGTCCAGCAATGCATTACCGGCGCCGATGAGACGCGGGAGCGACGTTCGCGAACACACGCGGTCCCGTAGCGGAATCACCGCGGTACCCGGTCGGTCGCCCGCTATATATATAATGTACAGTATGCGTGTGCAGTACGATTATGCACACGCGTCACCTATTATAACGTTGCGCGGCGGACCGCGCCGCTGACTTCCGGCCTCGGATCGATAGTCAAGTGGCGTGCGAGCAGTGAAATTATTAATTACGGGAATTAAATGTAAACACGCGGCCGGATACACGAGTGTGTGTGTGTGTGTGTGTGTGATGTACGCGTATTACGTTGCACGGGTACCGTCCGGGTCAAGTCGACCGCGCCGCACGCGACGGAACGCGGGTGTATAACGAATTATAATATTACCGGCCGAATCGGCCGGCGTTGCCCGGAAACGAATTCGTGACAAATTAGATAACGCCGTGTATTACCGTTTACCGTCTTAAATTCCTAATTATCGTTAATAAACACGATAACCTAATAAATTACGAGTATTGGTGTACGCGCGATGCACGAGATTATTTTTATCGATAAACTTCTCGGAACAATTTTATTCTCGGAATCATCATTCTTATCTACACGACGACGAACAAAAAGTATAGGTTGCAGGTAGCTGGAAACCCGCGGGCCGCCGTGCCGCCGAATACGTGTTGGCGGTGAATAATTATAATCGTTGATTACTCCACTGAAACGCGACATTTTTGAAAATCCCTCATTGTTGCACGGCGAAAACACGAGAAGAACCTCCGTTCCGAATTCCGAGTCCGTACGTTACGTAGTTTTTGAGACACAGCGGTCTGTCGGTCAGTGGTATTTGGATTCCGTGTGTACAGATTGCTAACGATAACGCCGTAGAGCCGATGTGCAGCGCGCATTCCGTTCGCGGGTATCGACGGCCGTTTCCGCGCGGATTTGCAATTGTCTTTGGCTCGGTCGGCGCGATAAAACGCGGGTATCGTACGCGTGTTACGTAACGTACCGACGGCCAGAGCGGCGCACGCACACGGGCGTCGCCGCGAACACGTCGCGCCGCCGTTGTGTAATGTCTCCGGCAACAATAGCGATGGCAATGCAATGATCGAATCGTCGCTCGCCGCAGGCACAACGAGCACCGTGAATCGCTGTATCGCAATCGACTGTTTACGTTTCGGCGGAAAAAAAAACCCCGAGCAAATGACCGTTTCATTTTAATGTTCTTCGACAATCTGAAGACGGTCTCGGTTGTTGTACAACGGGGTTCATTCTCTTCTGGGCATTTTGACCGCGGCGACTTTTTGTTTTTAATTAAATTCGGAAAATTGCCCACAATTTATCACGCAGCGGGCTGCAGTCGCGTACGCGCCAATTGATCGTTATTATTGCGGCCGATCGACTGCATAATTTCGCCACGGTCTTCAAGTGTAACTGCGTTCCTAACGGGAAATTTCATCTGGATGGTACTTTTTCATAAATAATAATTGGAAAAACCGGTATTAATTTGTTGACTTTTCAACTAATTATCTTCTCGGTAGACTTTAAAAATGCTTAATCTTCCGATTTGAATTTTCCAGACCTAATCAATTTTACTTGGAAAATAATCGCACTCGAATTTGGCAAGGTCCCATTAAGGACTCGGGTATATATTTGTTAGTATTGATGATAAACACCGAGGCGAAACCCCCACGGGTCACTTTTACCATAAAAATTTTAGTCGATCATCGATAAATACATTTCTATAGTTGCGCCTATGACTGAGCGCAATCAACAAAATACGATTCATAGTGAAGCTCGGTAAAACGTTTTTTTTTCGGAATGTTTTATTAAATTATTTCAAATATACGAAATAATTCAAAAGTTTTGTCAACATTCGAATCCCGGAGGCGCTTATAAAAAAAAAAATCCTAATACATTGTAAAGATTAAAACTGTTTTGGTTTTTTCGTCATGCACCAAGAGCAATATATTATACATCAGGTTTCGATACGACTATTGGATAGTTAAGCTAAACAAACATTTTTATCACTGCACCCACCAGGTATATTATATGGATTAAAAATTCTACATAGAACCTACTATGATGTTCTTTATTGGAAAAAAACGCCTGGCCGAAAAACGAGTTGTTCACGAGTAATAACCACACCTAACCCGACCCAACCAATATAAAATCTAAAACTGTACTCTCCAGTATAAATAGTTGCTTTTATTGTACATAATATGAATTGGACGTTGAAAAATGCTTCTTTTCGGTAATTTTGACATGGTTTGGTTTGACTCGACAATAATTATATGGATTTTAAGTCGAACAGAGAAGTAAAACGACAAATCGCTATTTGACGATGTGTAGTGTTTCATTAAATGTAATACACACATATATATATATACCTATGTATAACGCGCTCAAGACGCACCGTGTACAATTTCAATCGTAATAATCGCATGTCTAACTTTTTTGAACTCGTCACGGACCGAGAAATGTGTGTCGTAAAACGTTTGACGGAGCGTAACTGTACAGTTCATATATAAGTCATTGAATGGATTAAATATGATACGATGACGAGTGACAGAAACGAACACGGTAAAAAACAAATACTTTTTCCGTGTGTGTTGAATTCCTCATATCGAGAGAATATTTCGTTATAGTTTATCACAATCCCGCGCAAAGACTGAAGTTAATATTGTATCTGGTGTAAGTAAACGTCGAAAGAAACGCCGCGCGCATTATTCAGATTAGATAAGTATTTTTGTACCTTGATAAAGATAAATACTATTTTATCTGGATAAAAAGAAAATGCATTATTTTTAAACGGGTATATCATAATCTGGCCTAAAAATATACCCATAACTCATAAGGCTAATGTTATTAATTTCATATTTTTAAATTTAAATTTTTAGCAATATTTCTGGTAGAAAACATCGTGTAAACATAATGAAAACAATGAAAATTGTAATGTCGCGGCGCTCCGTAAATATTTGCAGTTTTACCTATAATTTTCTTTCGGTTTTTCCCGATTATTTCGAAAATCATTCGAAAAATCAAAAAACTGACTTCTTAAATGCACGAACGAGAGAATATTACCTTTCGGAAAAGGTGCTATGGTCTATACTTATCTATACTTAATTTTCTGGTAAAAAAATTGTTTACAGATATAAAAAATAAAAAAATACACACACATCATAATAAAATGTATATCTAAATGAATTCATTTAGATTAGTAAAATATATAACCAAGATAAGTGCTTAGATACCTTGTAACTATATTTATCTAGATAAAAGATGAACAAACAATTATCTAGATATTCATATAGATAAATTCATCTTGATAAGACTGGCCGCGCATTGTTACAGGTTTTTATATTTTATAATTCGGCGAAATGCGTACATTTATATTTACATTTCGCGAAAAAAATAAAAAATTGACGAGTCATACTGCAGTTATGAAAATAAAACCGATTGATAAAATAATATATTAATTTCAGGTCGTTTGGCTTGGTGTGACAGACTGCGACGATGATTAAGAGGACGTTATACCCGCATCTACTGTCTCAGTCCAACTATCGGGTAACATACATAAACAATTATTACGCAGAATAAGTAAAACCAGCTTAATTTTGATTTTAGAATAAAAGTACCGATTATAAAATTTATAGAGAACGATACTATGGAAGAAATGACGTCGATGTTTTATGAATTATGAACTATTAAAACAGTTGCAGTTATTTAAAAAAAAGCAAAAAAATTAAGGTTTTCGTAGGTTTTATATTGAGCTGTATATTTTGAATAATACAAAAACCCCACGTCATTCCTTCCAAAATATTGTTCTCTATAAATTTCATAATCGGTACTTTTACTCTAAAATAAAAATTAAGCTGGTTTTATTTATTCTGCGTAAGCATTGTTTATGTACGTTACCCGGTAGTTGGACCGAGACAGTAGATGCGGGTATAACGTCCTTTTAAGAGGCGGCGCATTACACGATAAAAGTTGACGAGTCCGTCGCGTCGCGGCAATAAACGAGTGAAAACGTCCGAGTGGAAAATCGTTTGGAGTAAAAGGGCGGCATTTTAACGGCGTCTCGTCTATTAGTACCTATAAAGGTACGGTATATTACATGGGTGTATACGCACTCGTATACGCGTTTCAAAGGCAATACGTATTAATATACGGTTATTTTAAGCTGGTGTAAAGTCAAGGTGATATTATCGTGCCGTGCGCTCAAAACGAGAGGACGGGAGATAATACGCTGTCGCTGCTGCTGCATCCATAACCGCGCGCGCAATATAATAATTGGCGGTTATCCTCCTGTCTTGGATAAACGTTGCAACAAAATAACTGTAAGTATACGTTTTGAAAAGTTGCCACGGGTGGCCCGGAAAAACTAATCACTCGTCGTTGGTTAAACGCTAACGA